CTGTCAATACAACACAAACCGTTCAGCTGGTCAGCTTTAAAGTCTGCATCCATCACTCCGTTTGACACGTGCACTCTCCAGCTCTTTCTGTTCATTTTATTGACTTCAAACTCTCCATCATTCACCTCTGCTCCTTCACAGCGGTATAAACAGCAACTGTGAAAGCCCACATTACTGCTGGAAACAGCTGCATCACTATCTGTTCAGATGACTGAGAGGTGACTGTGGTTTAAGCAGCACACATCTGCATGCTGATGAGAGCAGCAGGAGACACTGGCGCAGCCTGTAAGCTCCTCTCAGCTGATACACTACAGCCACTCTCTCTACCCCCACTTTGTTTCTCTGTATTCCTTCCGGGTCCATTAGTTAGGCTGATGGATGACAGGGTTCGAGGGGAGTGACAGAAAATCCACTTTCCTGCTGCTTTTCAGATCCTGATCTGACTCCCAGCCTCTGCTGGTTTGACAGAGGGGAGGACCGGTCACATGCTGACATGACAGGGTTAAAACCCACAGTGGAACACTGAGCAGATTTACTGCATAAAGAAAAGGATCCTGAGGGGATTTGTATTAGTTGTGTAATAAGACAGCATGAGTGCACGGCTTCTATTACATGTGGATTTCCATTATTTCGTTAATTGTTGTTCTATTAAACTGTTAAAGATTTTGCCACAGCTTTTCAGTTCTTACATGGTGCAAAATTGTACATTATCTTATGTTCATTACATAGCACGTCCTGATGGATGCCCCGGATGAAAGGCATTTCATTCGGCTGACTCATGTTTCACTATTAATTGCAGAGTGTTACGTTTTAAACCACCAGTGCGCTGCTGTGACTCCGAGTCTTATCAGAAAGCTGTGACCACAGCCTGCAGCCTCTCAGCACCTCGTGTTATTAACAGCTTATATCTCAGCCTGTCTTTGATGGTACTGCTCAAGGAGAGCATGAATAAGTCATGACAGAGCCCATTTCTCCCTCACCCCAGCACTGTTACAGGTCCCAGTTCAAGAGTATGCATTGGAGATCAATGAAGATGTGGTTTACACCTCCCAGAGAGTGAGTACTTTTCCCCAGGTGTCAAATCTGCACTTGTGCATTAAAGCAAACACAGTTCTGGTTTAACCTCACCCACCAATCACGGTAAACCCTCGACGGAACCCCATTTGCCAGAATAAGTATCTATTTTTGTATGATAGAAAGGTAAAAAAGGAAAACATTTGTATTTATTTTAGTTGTTATGTAATTTTTAAATATCTACATGTCTAAATTGCACATACTGCGATAATAACATGCATTTTACTATAAGTGAAGTGGTTATACCATCTATGAAGATTTAAGCTGTTTACAGATTATACTGTGTTGACCGAACCATATGTTTTAAGGTTTGCAATACTGTATTGCTTTATGCATACACTGCATTATACAGAGAAATGTTCTGAATATTTATCCTAGCCTTATTAATAGAAATGGGATGGAAAAAATAATGGAAGTGTAATGCAATTCAGATTAATGGCAAAAACACAAAAACTGAATCCCATATTCTCCATTAACCTAATATTTATGAATCCTTCTCACCAGCACATCCTTATACTGGGACCAAACAGATCATATCCATAATTAAAATGCAATAAGTACCAATTTGTGAATATTAACAAAAAGATTGTTTAGCAGTACCATGTTTTGCATAAATGCACCATCGTTGTGTTTTGTTTCATTTGCATAGTATTTGATAGAAATATAAGCATCCTTTATTGTCCCTCACTAGGGAAATTCACCTGTTCCAACAGCAACGCGAGAGAGAAATGGAGCAAGAAAATTCACACAACAGTAAAGAATAAAAATACAAGAAATAAGAGACTGTACAGGGCAAATTCACAACACAAGAAAAAAACAATACTGTAAAGTTAGGGTTTCAATAAAATAAGGGTCACTAATTGCAAAATCTGTAATCCCGGATACGTTACTGCAAAAGGCATGACGTTCAAACTCCCAAGCTGTTATTTGCTGAGGGAATTTGTCAACCTCCTACAACAACGCCTGCATCATCTTAGACTGAGATTTAGATTTTCTGTGTTTCCTATTTACTGAGCCGAAGTCGTTCTTCATGTTTTCACTATGAACTGGCGATGGGGATGAGTTCTTACGTTTATTTGTTTTTACAAACTACTGCATCTCAAAAAAAGTAATATAGTTTATACTTTTTTAAAATATAATTTAATTGAATTAGTAAACCCCCACACTATGAATGTCTCTTTGTGCTCAGTAGAACAGTCAACTTTCAAAGACGTTGGCCCTCACGCAATGTTTACGCAAAGTTTCATGAAGACTGATCGAGTTGTCTCGAGTTGAGAGTGAAGCTTCTTAAAGCTCAAGTTGTCTGTTTCAACTAGCTTCCAAGCCTCCATTAATTACAGAAACAATACTGATAATATTAATAGAGATGCTAAAAACAAGGTTTAAGTGCAACAACTGGTGAAGCCAAGTAAGTCATGCCTACACTCATCATATTTCAGGCTTAAAACACATACGCAATGATGTTTCCTTTAGCTTGTTGTAATAACATATTTTCCCACAATTGATGAGCATTAAAATGAAACATATTTCCTGTGTAGTTTTATGTTCAATTCAAATTGGTTTTATTAAAAAGCGCCAAGTTACAAGAGCTTACACTGTAAAGACACTAAAGTAATACATGGAAACCCCAACAATTAAACAATGCTTAATCAACAATATTGTATCGTTAGCTTTACTTTTTCTAAAATCTTGTTTCTATTTTTATTTAAGTTAACTGAAATGTTTTTTATACCTACTTTTTAGTTTTAGCTACCCATAATCACCTGTGTTTTATAGAGAAAATGGACAATGCTATCAAACGTGTGTCATTTTCAGGACATCATACATTAAAGTTGATATCATTTTTGGCTTCTGAACTATGGCATCTTTTTTAAACGAAAGATACCAGAAATGTCTGAACATCAGTTCCTGCAGCAGCTATACACGAAGTTCAGGGTTAAAGTCATGATTAAAGACATTTTTCCATTTTGCCTCAGTCTCTTTTTTTTCCCAGATAATCTGAATAATCAGGCTTGCTGAGAACAGCTAAAGCTACATTTATTTCTTTAAGTTTCCCAAAGCTGAGTGTGAAATGAGGCCAAACACCCCAGAGCTGTTATTCAAATGAGTGCGAGTCTGAGTGTTCTTTAAGTAAAAGGGCTTCTTCTCTATTTTTACAGGCTCCTCACTTACCGTGCACTCTGCCCAACACCAGCGACTTCACAGCGTTGAATTCCCCATCAGATGTCAGATTGAAGTCTTCTCTGGCATTTTCATCAATCTGAAGGAAGAGAGCTATTTCCATTATTTAAATAGGAAAGTTTTGTTTTAATTTCGGCGACTTTGAGCGGTAGGTGTGGCACGAGAAAAACATCTTACAGAAACGGTATTACGAGGTACTCTAAACGTGCTTCAAATTTGATTCAAATTTGTTTAAAATGGATGTAAAACTATCTCCATCACCTTATGACTCCTATACTGTATGCTGCTAAAGATACAACAATTCAGTATGACGGAAAGTGATAAGATGAAATGTGCCTCATAGTTTACTGGAGCCTCACAACACAGTGAATCAGGAGGCTACACCCACGCAAGACAAGGTCACCTTGTAATTTATCTCACAGTTGATAATTATATAGGCATTCTGGCTGCTGCCTCCTGGTTAGATAAAATTTACCTCATACATCATCTGAGGCTCTTGTTAACAAGATAGGAGATTCAGGAGATCCAGATACGATGAAGATGCTTCATATTTCATCTGTGGCTTATTTAATGGGCGGTTTGTCCGCGTTGTCCTGCTATAGCTGCATCCAACTACTGTGGGTGGAAGTAAACTAAATTGCTGACTAAGGCTTAAAACAAAGAGGGATTTTTTTT